AAAACCCCAAAACCCCAAAACCCCAAAACCCCAAAACCCCAAAACCCCTTTTGCAAACTTTTGATTGATCTTGAGTAACCATAATAAATTTTAATTAAAGGACTACAATGTCTGTTGCAAGAGAGTTCAAGCTTAGAGAGCTAGCGTCAAACCCTATCACACACTTCCAACCTAGGGCAACAACCCCAGGACCACAAAGAAGAGGAGAGTTCAAGGCAATGGGAGAGATCAAAGATTTCAGGTAAGTAAATATAACCTTATTCAGAAATATTGTAGCTTTTCTAGTGTTTTGTTCCTAAACCAAGGCTAATTTATCTAATATTTCTTTAATAGGTTTTTGTATGAAGCCCAAGCAGACCACGTCAGAATGACAGACACGTTCAGATCCTCTGTGATTCCAGGAGAGCAAAGAGATTTATCCTCAACTCCAGTTAAAAGAAATAATATCTTCCATGAGAATCAAGAATCTGAAATCCCAGCAGTAAAATCAGTTAAAAGGGAGCGCTGCAAATCAGCTGTCTTCACTACACCTTCAGGAGGCTTTGAGAAGAAGTCAAAGAACTTCCAAGATATCATGAATGAAGGCCAACAAAGATTACGCACTAATCCAACTTTCTCCTCTTCAGTAATGCCAATAGGACTTTCCGACGTGAATCATGCAACTTCCAATGGGAATAAGTGGAAGCTTCAGAAAGAAGACATCATTCCTGAGAAGCCTGGAAATATGCACAAGAAGAAGTCTGACATGCACAAAATGTATTTCGGTCTGAAGGACACCCCATTCCAAAGATATTTCAAGGAGCATTATGGAGATAAGCACAAAGCTCCGACTCGTGATAATTGTAAGAGCCAACATAGCATTGGGCAAACCGTTGGCTTCAACACTCATGCCAATAAATAAAGATGTCTACAAAGATCTCAATGCCACTGCCAGAAGAGCTAAGGAGCTAGATTCATGCCTATGGGCTGAGAGTGATGGGAAGTATAAATCATTTACCGACAAAGATATGGCCAAGAAGACATCAACTACTCTTTCAGCCACTACTAATTGGGAATCCAAAGAAGCACCTAGAAATTATAACAACCAGGATAGAGTAGTTAATGATAAAAGAGTAACTCAAGACTACCTGGCTAGTCAGGCTCTCCCTTTGAGCACTTATGAAGCTCCACAAAAACCAAAATATGAAGAAACTTCTCAAGACGATAGAAGAAAATTATTTGACTCCAAATAAGTTCCACAAAAAGCAAAGGACAATGGTTTCAAATACAAACTGGAATGATGCTAGAACAGAAGGCTTACTAAACAATGGAGGATATGAGAAGAAGGATTTCATCAGCCTACTCAACCAGAGTGCATTACAAAGAGACCCAGCAAATCATAAATTCACCAAAAGTATAGATTCTGGAATGAACCTCAGCTCTCTCAAGAGGCAGGAAAATCTTGCAAGCAACTTGGGATCTTCAGATATGTATAAAGATTATCTAAAAAGAAAGCTAAATGAGCAACAAAATTCTGCATCTAAGGGAAGAGTAGCTTCAATAGACCAGTTTAGCCATAAAGAGCTTACTCAGAAGTATCTTGAAGGACAAGAAGATAGGTACCTGTTCAATGCAAGTAAGCCATCTGCTACAAAGAGATCTAAGACTGATGTACATACTCTAAATCTTCACAACATTCCTGAAGGGGTAGATAAGGATAATCTCAAAAGCACTCTCGGGAATCTCCATTTAGTCTCACTCGACATAAATACTGATCATCTCAGAAATGTTAGCACTGGAGAAGGCCGCATTATATTCAGAAGTAATACGGAAAAGGAGAAAGAAAAGGTCGAGAATGCTCTAAAAGGCCTTGGCATAAAAACTACTGACTATAAGCTTAAGAACAAGGTGAAGACTTCCAGAATAGGTACTTCCCAGATAGGAATATTGGACTCCAGGAATGAGATTGACTGCTCTAAAGGTCAAAGAACAATGAAAATCGAACATAAAAACGAGAAAAACTTGAAAAAGAACAAATCTGCAGCCAAAGTCACTGGAAAAGTGGGTGAAAATCTCTACATTAAGCCAAAGGATTACCTTAAGAACTACAAAAATGAATCCAGAACAAAAAGGACAACATTCTACCAGAGCTGTAGTGACCTCTTAGGTAACACAAACGGAGATTATGCTAAGACCCACTCTGAAAGAGTAAAGAGTGATAGAAAGAAGCTAGACAACACTCTGAGGAACACTCAGCTGCAGAACCAACTTATCCAAGGTAAGGATCTCCACCTGAAATCTCTATAGATTGGACCCAGATGCAAAAGTTTGATAAATACGCTAAGAGTAGAGCTCTCGGATCTACTACAACAAGATATGGTACTGTCCATAAATATTAAGGTTTGCCCAATTAAAATAATAATGAAAGGGGTTTTGGGGTTTTGGGGTTTTGGGGTTTTGGGGTTTTGGGGTTTTTGGGG